TCTTTTCTTGAAAAGCCTTAGCGTGCAAAAAAGCCTGTTGATTTTAAAAATGGTTAAACTAAAAGATAGTAAAAATAATCCATACAGGTTTACAAAATGGCTTTAGAGAGGTTTGTGTCTGCTTGTATCATATCAAAGGTCTTATCCCAAAAAAGGGATGATATTAGCTTGTTCACACATCCTAACTTACTTAAATCAGCGAGAAGACCCCATGCCTCACAACTATTCTCAAATACAAGAAAACAGGTGGGTGAGCAGTTCTTTCTGAGCCCAGAGGACCACAGGATATTAGAAACCATCTCCTCTGTTCCCTTAGTGCTAAAGTTCAGTGAAAGCAGTATCTTAAAACCAGAGATCCACAATTTATGTTCCCAATAGATGAGCTGACATATATTTCCATAACAACAGAAATTGTTCACACAATGGTAATGATCACACTCTTTTGGGCTATTTGGCTTCGCTAGCAAATAAAGTATAAATCAACAAAATATGAAATCTGGTTTGCATTATACACTTTCTATTTTTTCCCCGAGTTGAAAAACAACACAAAATTACTTAAATATATTACTGCCTCTGACATGCATTATTTAGTAAAGATTCTATTATTATTTATCCTTATAATAAAAATACATGCTCAACAAAAAGAAAGAACCCCAAGATCATAGATAAGAAAATATATAGAACATCAAGTATACCTGCCCACCAATGCCCTCTTATCAATACCTTCATGTGGACCCTCCCAGATCCTTTCTTATGCATGTGCCCATACATACAAATACAAGCACCTATTTAACAAAGGATCAAGCCATTCTGAAAGCCTTTTTTGGAACAATATATAGTGAATTCCATAATCATTTAATAGCTGCATTGCATCCCACAGTATAGTGTATAGTAAGTTTTAAACAGTCTCTTACTATTAGGCATTTCATTTATTTCCAACATTTTATTATTATGAGCACCACATCTTCATGAGAATCCTTTATTATTTCATTAGGATTAATTTCTAGAATTGACCTTGCTAGTCAACCTGAACTCTGGAAAGTTTGTGCCTTTTTACACACCTACTAGCTGCATCCAAGAGTTCCTATTTTACCACAAAGAGATGAATTTAAAAGCAAATGTCAAACTTGGACGTTCAAATGAATACCGTCACCTCTAAAGAAAACAAATTCTCATTACTGTCAAGCTTAAAATAATTTTGAAACTTTCTCCTTTGAAATCACACTTTGGCTGAAACAATAGGTTGCCTTCCATTATTTATTCTTCTTACCTATTTTGGTAATAGAACCTTGACTTTTAACTGGGCATTTTGCCATCCAGCTAGATATTGTATCTCCCAGTCTCTCCTATAGCTAGAAGTGAGATATAAGCAAACCTTTTGGGTGGAACTTCCTGGAAGATTCCTTAAAAGAGAAGGGTACATGCCCTTCTTCCTCTCTGCTGGCTGGAATGGAAGAGCAAATGCAGGCAACTCAAGCTGTTGAGGCAGCCCATTGTGATGGTGGAGCAAGATAAAAGGAACTTGGTCTCTCATGACTGTGTGGCCAGCAGGCCAACCCTAGCTGCTTACCTACAGACTTCTCTACATTAGAGAGAAATAAACTTTTATCTTGTTTATGTGCCTCCTATTTCTTAGATGTAACTGAATAAATCCCAACTGAGGCATGCCTTCAGAGCTGCCTATATGCAAAGAAGAAAACCATTCCTGATGGTTTGTGACACTTTTGTTTACCAGAATTGCCTCTCGATGACTTTGGGCTATTTCCAACAGCTAAACTACCCAACAAATAACAAGGAGTAACTCTCTCTAATCACACCAAAAAAGTATCTGTGTAGGATCTTCTAAAATGTTGAGATACATATATTGTCTACAAATGCAATCACCTTGAAGAGGATAACAGTAATTTTGAATTTACAAGCCTAGCATATTTGCAGTAAATGCACATGCATATAGTACTTACTCTACCATCAGATCTCACACTTGAAGGCATCTGATAATCAAGTTGATCAGAAGACTGTTAATTTCAAATATATGCATTAAAGAGGTAACTTCAAGGCTCAAGGTCTAAAAGAACAATGAAACTGTGTATCCTTAGCTCAGTTTCTTGAACTGAAAACAAGAGAACATGGGTACATGTATCTTCCAGCTATTAATCCATTTAGCAGTTATTTATTGAGCCCATGCTGCATCCGCATGCCATTTCCGTCCTCATGAAATGGACCATGTGCCAGGTAAAGTACAAGATTAGGTAAATGTGCATGACATGCCCTGGGCCCCAGGAAAGGTTTTGCAGAGGTGCTGAGGCTGCACCTGAAAGACGAGGAGGACAGGAATAAAAAGAGATGGAATCACTTGTAAGCACACATAATAGCAATCAAGTTATTGGTGGTGGGGAGGACTGGGTTCTGGAGAAGATGGTGGGGGCCAGTCACAGATGCTGGGAGAGAGAACGGAGCCAGCTCAGGAAAGGCCAGTCTGAGGAATTTAGGCCAACTGTTGGACAGCGGGCATCCCTGAAGGTGGTAAGCAGGGGGCAGTGCAGTCAGATCTACATATTAGAAGGGTCACCTGGCAGCAGCACAGAGGATACGATGATGGTGGGAGGGGGCCAAACTGAAAGAAAAGGGGTCAGGTGAGAGGAGAGACACAACTTTGCTATGCTGTCCCTACAAGGTATGTGTAATATAATAGACCTGTGAGATTCATGTGGTTAAAATACAACTGGCTGCAGAGACCACGTTCACAGTCTCGCTCATCCCCATGAACCAGCTGTATTAACCATATACCACACTCAGAGCGCTGTGGTCCCAGGGGGCTGCCCTTTGGCCATCAGCCACGACCATGCTTTGTGACTGGAGGAAGGGAAAATTGATTAAGACTCTTATGACTGTCATTAGAGACTAACTGGGATAAATATCTACTTGCAAACCCCTTTATCCTCACTTATAATTTAAATAAAATACTATAAAATGATACATAGCAGACAGTATCAACTAGCTAACTAATAGAGTACTCAGAACTCCAGAGCATTTAAAAGAGAAATAAAGCCCTGTGCACTTGCTTGGAATCAGGTATATCCAGTATAAATGTTGGACATTTCCAGTATGAGAAAGAAAAAAAAGTCACATAGTATCTATAGATCCCTTTTGCATTCCATTCCCCTTTCCCCTGGAAACAGCATTTCTGGGCAGTGGTCCACTGAGATCCCCCACAGGGGTGTGTTACTTGGAACTATACAGTCAGTCAGTTCTTGCTACAAGGAGTACACAGGCTGGGGAATTAGGGTTTTGTCTCAGTATTGGGGGCTACTTCAGAAGGAATTTCAGTAAAGCTTAAATTAGGTAAAATCATGTTATTTATAGACAGAACAATTCCTCTTAAAGGGATCACTTTATGTTATATGATGCTATGCTACACAAATACATATGAAATAATCTAGGGGAATAAAAAAAAGGGGGTGTCTCCTTTCTCCACCTCAAAAAAAGGGAGAGGGAACAAAAAGGAGAGGTGACCTATTTGCTGGAGGACAAGTTCTGTAAACAAGAGGCTACTCTGGGGTGGAAGCCAGTGGTCCCCTGGCTGCAGTGCAGTCTGAGAGGATTCTGGGAGGAAGGCAGGAGAAAGCATGGAAGTCAGGATTACAGTGTCCTGGAGCCAGCCCCAGAAGCTTGCTGTAAATTTTGTCTCATCTCAATGTATGTAAATATTATTAGTGTTTAGGACTATTAAGGGATTTCTAGAAAAGCCCTGGGCAGTTTGTCTCGCCAGCAGATGGATGGCTGCTCCACATGAATGCCAAAACTTAAAATTTAGTGCAGTTACCAAATTTCCAATTATGGAGCTAGGGGAGAAAAGAAGAGAACCTCTTCCTGGGCTTCCATGAATAAGGGGCACACCTAGCATGATTAAAGGCATTTCTACTGTAAAACTTTAAACATAGAAGGGACATGGATGCTGCTATAAACTAGCAAATATTCAGGGGAGGAAGCAAATTGATTTTGCCATGAGATCTTTCTATTCATTGGAATTCTTACAATGACCAACAATAAAAACAAAAGCCCGTCTAAATTGTTGGAAAAGCTAATGCCCCATCTCACATCTACCACTAAAAGGATTGATTCAGGGTCAAAGTCCCATATAAATGCGGCACTGCATTGAAAAGCTATTCTCTTCAGTTTTGGGGACAGGAAAAAAAGTCACCTGCATCAGCCTTTCACCCACTCCCTCCCCAGAGTCTCTGTGGTTATTAAATTCTTTCTAGGGTTATTTTTTAACATTTGTTTTTGTTTTTGTCCGTTAAGTTCTTTAACAATCTTTACCTCCAAGCAACCACTTTTAAAAGCATAGGACATAAAGTGCTCCTCCAGCAGAGACGCTGGAGAACTCAGCCTCTTCACAAGGAACAAACAATGGAAAAGGGGCCACTTAGCCACATGATTTTTTTTTTAAATGCAAACTATTTTATCCCAAATAATTTCTAAAATATA